TGAAGTTGAATATCATATATTGATAAAATTTGATGAATAAAACAACACTGTTGCTATGGTTACCAAGAAGGGGAAATGTTCGATTTTGTGAACTTTATATCAATATTAAACCCTGTGTGCCAACTTCTTGCATCCACTTAGAGACTTGGAGCACACCAACATCTTATAAAATTGATCATTGTTATGAGGAAATCTGCTTTTTTTAAAAGATAGGATCAGATTTAAACATACAGAGTTACTTTGAAGGCTCTCTGTGGTATAAAAACCTTGGCAACCATTGCCAACCAAAATGAAATATCATATTTTGTTATTGGTTTAAGTTTCAAGGCTCTTTTTACTATTATTTTGTCACATTTCATCCTAAAATTGCTTTTTATTTTTACGTGTATGACTTTGTAAAATTCAATGAATATCTTCTTTACTTTTGAATACTTTGTTACCATAGTAACGTATGTAATAGTTGATTTACAAAACATGTTTATCATGCATTTGAGACATCTGACCTTCAACTTTTGGAAACAGTCATTGCCAACTGTTTGCTTTGCTGCAAATGTTAACTATGGGGCTCTAAACATGTTAAAAAATGCCATTTTTCGAACTTTAAGACATGTTGCCATGGTAACTATAAAACATAGCAACCAATTTTTGACTGATTTCAGTTTAGGGTATCAATGACTTTATCATAGAGAGTTTGGAGAAATTCTGAGACTATGCGTGCCACAGCTCCTATATAAAATTTCAAATCATTACAGAGAATGGCTCTTAAAATCTTTTAGGTTGACTGGTTAAATGTACTGAAGATGTACTTTTTTCTGTGTGGTCACAGTACAGTGAATTCATTTTACTTATAGTTACATAAACATGATTAGTTCTATGTATTTTTCTCTGAAAAAAAAGAAGTTTGTTTGTATCATATGTTCTTTAGACAAAAACAGTACATGTGTATTAACATACATCAGGGTTCTCCACATTTGAAAATTTAACCATGGAGGAAGCTGCGCGAAGGCGAAATGTGACCCAAATGCGTGTTAGACTTCCTACTCTTCATTAACCAATGATTGGTTTTACAATTTTTAAAATTAACCACTGCAACACAAAACAATGGAATAACTATCACTTTTCAAAGTAAAAAAAAATTGAAAAGGATTTATCCTGTATCTTACTTTACAAATGTACTAAAATTTTCCCAAAACTGTAGTACATGTAACCTTCTGAAGGAATTTAAAGAAAAATTGTTGATACAGTAAATCAGTAACCATGGCAATATTTTTTCAGAAATTAATAATTATAAGAATTGTAGCCTGTTGTATGAAATGTTTTGTTCCACTATATAAACGTTTTATTTTTCTAGATATTGCATTTTCCACCAAGTTTAGTTTACTTTTCCACGTGCCCAGTGCTAAAAATAGCGCCACGCGATGTTTCATAACAACGGAAAGTAACTCTAAAACTACCACTATACCGGCGATTAAAACTAAGATTGTTAAGACGGCGATTGAGACGTAGGCCCTCTGCACATTTTATCAAAAAGATAGTAAAGTTAAAGCTTAAAAACAGAGCATGGGAAATTGATTAACTACAGAGGAATATGAAATTTTTACAGAGTATTTTTTTTCTGACACAGCATGCATGCCGATTATCATGCTTGTAATTGTCATCTTTTAAATGAACGCTCAAGTCGTTATATATCTAATCATGTAGTGAAAATGTTGACGTTCCCCAAAACTATTTACATGTGTACAGGATACTAAACTCTCAAAATATTAATCATCTGATCAGCTGATTGACTCTCCACTGATTGTCACGCTTCACAGCATAGTCAGCTCGATGATTAACGTGTTTGTTTAGTACAGTCGGCTTTCCTTCGAGGCATGCGAGGTGCAGGGCAGGCGTAGTATAAACACAACTACTCAAGTCATTAAAAAAGTAGGTGTCAGGACTGAAATGCAATAAAATTTAAGCATGGCGGCTGCCGATTTTAACCATGGTGCAGCTCGTTTAACCATGGCGCACAAAAATTTTACCATGGCGGGCTGCCATGGTAAAACCCCTTGTGGAGAACCCTGTACATAAAAGTCATACTCCTGTCATTTTACGATTAAAAGAGCCACAAAATCACATGCACTCTATGGAAATAAATTCCAATAATGTTTGTTGCATATGCAAATTCCCATTTGACCTATGTCCTCTAAGTACTGTTAGTACTGGGTTGCCCTTATTTTACTAAAGTAAAAGTCTAAGCATACATATATATTTAGGAATACAGTCTGACCTTCTTGTAAGACTAGACAATCACAAAGGCAAATCTGAAAACTCCAAACATGAAATTATTTCTGGATTTAAGGCCAAGGTTGAGTTTGTGGCCAGACAGATTAAGATTAGTATGTCTCTTTTTTAAACATCAAAAGGAAGAAAACTGCATGAATAAGCACTGAATACCTAACCATATCATTATGTCTACAATGAAATCCATAAGATTTAAAGAACAATAGTAATTTTCAGAGTAAAACATTGCTTGAGCCACAAAGCCAGAGTTCTGTTAATCATAACCTTCAAATTAAAAAAATATTGCTGTCTTTTACCTGATCAAACACATCCTTTTCCCCCATCAGCTCCTTTGATTTCTCATGCATCATTTCAGCCCACTGTTCTTTCAAGGAATGCAGAGCAGGCTACAAATAGAGGCTTCTATCAGTTTATCACAAAAGGAAAGGTTCACTTTATATGACCTCTACCTTCACATCAAAGTTTAAGTTTCTTCAAAATATGGATAAAACAAATCTTTGTAACTAAAATACAGTAAAAAATGTTTAAATTGAGACTTTGTCAGAATGAGGCTAGAAAGTCAAATATTCCTGACTTATTGCTAATATGTGGATAAATTCAAATACATATTTTCTATGTTACTTAAATCTTGACAGTGAAACAAATTTGGATAAATCATGAAAAAAGACATACAAGTTTTTAAATATTACTAAATTTTCAAAGACTAATCCAGAATTCAGTGTGGTACCTTGACAACTTCAGTAAATTTATCCCTAGCACTGTAAGAGGGAGATAACTCATAGTCCACACCACCAGCATATTGTGCTGTAGATGGCAGAAGCTTTAACCGCTGGGCCAAATCATTGTACTCATTGCAAGAAGATTCCACCTACAAAAATAACAAACACCTGATTCACTCTCATCTATAGTAGCTTCAGATGATCAGTTAGCATTCAAAGCCTTTATGTATACAACGAGGTACAGTAAAACATGCTTATAGTGAACATGCTTATAATGTATTGACTCTTACATGAAGTGATTTTCATTTCCTGCTACAACTTTAAAATTTATTGTAAATGTAAAAGATTAATATAAAAAATTATGCTTATAATGAAGCAAAATCATCTGTCCTTAGCACTTCTATATCAGTGTTTGAAACTCACTGGAAAATTAGCAAGACATGCAGGGTTGATTGCTAGTGAAACTTGTCAGCCCTGCCTAAAATGTACTAGCCCCAAAAAAATAATTGTCTTTTATGTTAAGTTCGTTTTTAATAGAAATAATATGAATGGGGCCAGAACACTATATATTCAATCCCGGACCCATAGGCTGATGAATTCTACCCGTTTGCTTGTTACACTTTACAACCATTTATATATTAGTAGATTTGAGAGAGTTTTATCAAATATCTGAATTTAAGTTTATGGAAATATTTTACACGTCCAGCCGGGCGTTCCCCCTATCAAAATTTGTGCATCTCGATCGGTTGGGTGCACAGTTGTTTCAAACACTGACTATATAGGCATGTTTTACTTTATTAATTTATATGTAAATAAATCTCTGAATATCAGGTAGCTGGCCTGTCAATCAAATCAGTACCTATTGTTTCTAGTTTGATTGACAATGGTATAAAGTATTCATCTTGAATAAGATAGATTTGGGGGGGGGGGGGGGGGGGGGGGACTCAACATAAAATTGGGACTTTAAGAAGAAATTTACATCTTTTTAAAGTTAAACACATCATCTAAAAGTTCTCAGAGCCTACAGACATAGGGAAGCTCTTTTACTTATAAACCGCTCAGAAATTATTTAATCTCCCCAAATTCCACAAAAATAATTATCCCATACTGTGACCTTATTTAAGATCATGCAGCAACTGACCATTTCTAGCATTTTGGAGGCCTTCATCTCCTCTGACCAGACCTCCTGGTCAATACTGGACACTCGAGCCTCCGCGTCGTCAATCTGACGTAACATATCCTTCCTGTTGATCTTAATTCGTTCAATGTCTTCGGGGCTGAATTCCTGGGACTCAAAGATCAACTGCTTCTCTTGGTTTTTGGCTTTAATACTATTTAAATCAGCAACTACAAAAAAGAGTTATCATTGTGTATTTCTCGCATTTTAAACAAAAGAATAGTGAGTAAAATTCAACTATTAAATAAAAATTTTCTTTAGAAAATTGTACTTAACAGCTGAAAAAATATCTAAAATATGTAGGAAAAGAGGAGATGTCAATACCAAGAGTTTCCAACTCTTCATCCAAACTCTGTATGTTCTTTTCCTGGCTCTCTACGTAATCGTCCAGTTCATTCAGGTATTTGACCATCTTCTCATCGTTTTCTTTAGAATTGACCTCCTCTTCTCGCATTCTCTTGAGTTTTTCCTGCAATAACAGATTTTTGCACTGCAATTAATATTCTGTATCTAATCATTATTTGAGAGAGTACAAAATACAAGATTTTATTGACCAATTAAGGCCCCTAAAAGGCAACATACATAAATGCACAATTTAAACATATTTTACAATATAAATCGTTTTATAATGAATAGTTATATAAACGACCAAGTTGCATCAGAATACAATACTGTCCTGTAAATCATAACTTTACCTGAGACTCTAGGATTTCTTGTTCCAGACTTTCTAACTCTTTTTCCAATCTCCTATTCTCGTCATCTAAGTTTTCTAGGCCACCACTTATGCCATAAAGTTTTTGATCTGCAAAAAAAACCCAAAAAAAAAACAACTTAATATTATAGTTACACACAATGTTAGTTTTAATATGTATTCTGTAAACTCCAGGTACCTGACTTTGATTTAGTTTGCCTCTAAATGCACACTCCTCTAAAATTGGGCTTTACCAAGGAAAAAGTCAATATAATTCAATAATTCACATAATAGGGCCTCCATGTATTCATCAAATTGAACATAATATTCTCAAGTGAACATGTGACCCATGGGCCTCGATCTTATAGGTACATGTATTTCATATTCGTAATTCATTACCAGTCTGAAATTAAACAACAGAATTCAATTAATGATGTAAATTAGGTTTGAAACAAGGGGGGGGGGGGGGGAGGGGTAAATTTTTGGCCCATAATTGGAACTTTTTAAATCTATTTTCTCATATAGATCAACAACAAATATTATTCAAATTAGTGTAAAGCGTTTTTGATGATTTTTTTTTAAAATGTACAAACTTTTTTATATTTGATTAGGCAGAAACACCTTGAAAGCTGCCATATACCATGTATAGTATTGTATACCCAATCAATTTAGTCAACCCCCACCCCTCTCCCATCAACACACACACACACAAACACACCCTATTTTCCTGTTTTTGGAAATAGGCCTAGATGGCAAAGTTAAGATAAAACATCTTTCGTAAATAATAATTTTAAATTTGTTCTTATACTGTAAATGTATCTGAAGACCTGCATCACATTGGGCTTGCGTCACGTACCCAACTTAAGTACTAGTTTTACCATGATCATTTTTAGATAGCACTGCACGTGCAGTACTAGGCCTAGTGTTGTGTACACATCATTGCATGTATGTCAGTAGGAATTATTTTGTGTTTTAATTGGATTATATTTCATGAAGTTGGAGCTATGGCAGTCGGTAAGTACACGTTTTTGGTATAGATTTGGGTGAAATAGTCTGAAATGCAACTGGTTAGGTTAAAGTTTAAAGGATCAAAGGTCATCCGATGCTGCAATAAGACGAATTTCACATTCTTAAGAGTTATCGCCCGTTATCGATGTTACATTCAGTTACAAGATACAGAATTTTTTTTTTCTGGGAGGGAGGGGGGATTTCCAGACCAGAATTTCCTGAGAAGCAAATAAAAGTTATGGTGGTGTCTGTTTTCTAGGGTGGAGGGCATCCAAAGTCTTTTTTATATTATAGTCCTGCAAATTTGGGGGGGGGGGGGTCTCAAAATACACTTCCAGTCCCTGTAAACAGTAATGGCAAATGATCATGTGACTCCTAAATAGTAGGAAACTTTTTCCATTGACCATACATAATTCTGCGCTTTTTGTGTTATTATGTTATGTAAATTTAATGGTATAAAGGTTTTGAACCCCCTGGAGGTCATCCCCACTCTCCTAATGATGTTCACAATATGACTGCATTAAATTAAATAAAAGTGCATCAATGATAAGATTGCTTGACATTTCATTCATCAACCTATCCTCCTAGAATTATAAATGAAAATCATTCAAAGAGATGGACCACATTAAAGTATTTGTATATAGGCTATTAACATATTTTTTTAAAAATGTAAAACAAGCAGTAGTTTGCATACATGTCATGAATAAACAGGGGTCTGGGATGGGGTGAGGGGAAGGATCGAGTTCCTGTCTCTTTACGTCTTAATGGTTGAAAACTCCTAAAATGAATGTTGACCTCAAATCTGACTTGTCCTCATTATTTTTCAAGTGGTGGTGTCTCCATTTGAGTGAAAAATTCCTGAGAGGGATGTTTAACAACAAACAAACAATTAAATGACATAAAAACACAATATTGATTTGCATTAAGAAATATGCAGGGGATTTTTTCCATCATAAATCTTCTTCTCAAGAACAGCAAGGGCATTATTGTCCCCCGTTTTGGGGGAAAGGGAGGGAACATTAAATCTTATTTGTCTGTCAGTCTGGCCATCTTTGACAGTATGTGCATCTGTCACAATAAATTTAACCTTGATCATAACTTTTGAATAATATGAGATAGGGCTTTCATATTTCACATGTACATTACCACAAAACTTTCTAAATGTACTATGATTTTTTAACCCAAGTGAGACCTTGACCTTAAAATTTTACCTACTTTCCAAAAAATAACATTTTAAATTAATCATTTTGAAAGAGAAAAGATATGGCATTTAAATTATACATGTATATTACATGTGAAAAAACTTTTCTAAATATATCATGACTTTTGACTCTGTGATCTTGACCTAGAAGTTTAACCTACTTTTCAAAAATATTATATTATATATTTATATATATATAACTTTTGATTGAAAAGAGATGGGACTTTCATATTTGACATGTACTTAACCTGCAACAAAATATTTCGAGAATGCGATGATTTCCCCCCTTTGACCTAATTTTCATAAAGTGACATATGATAGGGGTGCATATTTGATACACAATCTGCCATAAATTATGGCATCCCATTCACTTAAACACAGAAAGCAGAGGACCACAATTCTTTGAATTTGCATGTATAATCTTGATATGGAAACATCCTCATATAATGTAGATTCAAGTTTTTTATGCTACGCCATGATTAGGAATACATGTATTAGTTTTTGTCATGTCCGTCCTCCACCCTTCCATCTGTCTTTCCATCGAGCTCAAAGAAATTACTTTCTAGATATTTTTATCAAAGTTCATATGTTGATGCATATACTGATGTAAACTATCCAACTGCGGCAATATTTTTTGACCTTTACTTTCCTTTGACCTTCACTTAACTTTTCTTAAAATTAGTGTTTAGCTTTATTTTAAAGAAACCATAATGATTCAAGTTGTGTAATGAAACTTCACATGATGATACGTACTGATGTAAGCTTTACAATGCTTCACTCTTTTTACCTTGACATTTCCTGTGATCTTGACCTCACTTTTCTAAAATTAATGTCTTAGACTAGATCAGTTTTGAATAAACAGTTCAAGATATATTTATCAAACTTCATATGCTAATACATACTGATGAGAGCTATTATTGCATTAACTTATTTTGACCTTGAATTTTCTTTGGACCTTGACCTCACTTTTTAAAATATGTGTTTATCTAAGTTTTAGATAAACCATTAATTATATTTTTTATCAAACTTCATATGCTAATAGTAAATTCACACTGATGTAAGCTTTTCAGCTAGAACAACATTTTGACCACAACCTTTCCTTTGACCTCTCTTTTCTTAAAACAAAGTGTTAAGCTCAGTTTCATTAAATCATTCAAGATATTTTTATCAAACATAATATGCTGATATGTATTATAGTGAGAGCTATTCAGCTGCATCAAAAACTTCATCTTGCACATTCCTGTTACCTTGACCTCCCTCCTCTTTAATTTGTATTTTGCTTAGTTTTTAAGAAATAATTTAAGACATTTTTATGTTTAACATGCACTTATACATAATTTGATGAGAATTTATTATCTATATCCAATTTATTTATATTTTAGTTTCAATTCTGAAAAAAACTGTTTAAGATATTTTCATCAAACTTTATACACTAATACAAATTTTAGTTTTTAGTTTTTAGCTCACCTGAGCCGAAGGCTCAAGTGAGCTTTTCTGATCACATTTTGTCCGGCGTCCGTCTGTCTGTCCGTCTGTCTGTCTGTAAACTTTTCACATTTCGACTTCTTCTCAAGAACCACTGGGCCCATTTCAACCAAACTTGCCACAAAGCATCCTTGGGTGAAGGGGATTCAATTTTGTTCAAATGAAGGGCCACGCCCTCATTCAAGGGGAGATAATTGGGAATTAATGAAAATTTGGTGGCATGTTTTAAAAATCTTCTTCTCAAGAACCACTGTGCCAGGAAAGATGAAACTTATGGGTTAACATCCTCAGGTAGTGTAGATTCAAATTTGTTCAAATCATGACCCCCGGGGTAGGGCAGGGCCAAAATGGCGGACCAAAGTTTTACATAGAAATATATTGGAAAATTCTTTAAAAATCTTCTTCTCAAGAACCACTGTGCCAGGAAAGATGAAACTTATGGGGTAACATCCTCAGATAGTGTAGATTCAAGTTTGTTCAAATCATGACCCCCGGGGGTAGGGCAGGGCCAAAATGGCCGACCAAAGTTTTACATAGAAATTTATGGGAAAATTCTTTAAAAATCTTCTTCTCAAGAATGACAAATCCATAATTCATCATATTTATATGGAAGCATCTTCAGGTAGTGTAGATTCAAATTTGTTCAAATCATGACCCCAGGGGGTAGGGCGGGGCCAAAATGGCCGACCAAAGTTTTACATAGAAATATATGGAAAAATTCTTTGAAGAAAAGCAAATCCATGATTGATCATGGGATTACTTTTGGATTTTAACTTTTCAATAATAAACCAATTTCTACTTTTTCTTAGCTACAGTACTCAGGTGAGCGATGTGGCCCATGGGCCTCTTGTTTAATGTACCATTAGTAATACACATCTGGCGGGACATTCATGTCCTTAGATATGGGCAACAAGGACATCACCTATACATCGACATATTTCTAGTTTTTTGAACAAACTAGAATCATCACCATATAAATATCAGCTTTGCTTGAAAAGGGTTTGAAAGGTTTCCATATATCATGCAAAACTAGGGATCAAAGTTTTATTTAGGGAAGATTTTTAAAGATTTTTCCTAAATATATTCCTATGTTAAACAAGGGTCGGCCATTTTGGCCCAACCCTTGCCCCGGGGGTCAGAAACTACACATTTCATCTTTCCTGGCCCAGTGGTTCTGGAGATTTAAAGATTCCTATATATTCCTATGTAAAATTTGGGTCGGCCATTTTTTCATGATTTTTCAACAAACTTGAACACCAAGAGCATGATTAATTCCTATGGAAATATTCTCATGGAGGTGTAGATTCAAGTTTATGTACAAATTGAATCATGTGCCAAGTTTGGTTGAAATCCCCAGTGGTTCTTGAGAAGAAGATGAAAATGTGAAAAGTTTCAACGACAGACGACGGACAAATTTTGATCAGAAAAGCCCCTTTATATTGCCATCCATATGAAAATTCAAATATTAAAACCATTTTACACATACACAAAACAAACCAATCATTTTCTAAATGATCATGGTTTAAATAGCCATTTAAATTACAATATTTACATTTGCAAATGTTTTCCTTTACATAACACTACTGCAAGCGTTTTTATAGAAATACAGGTTTGGGGTCAAGAGGTCATAGAAGCGTTCTAAACGTACGTAATTTCTCTGTGACGTCATAAAGGGTCGAGGGTGATTAATACATGTCAAATATATGTAAATTTCAAAAAAGTAACAATCAGGCAAATATTAAGTATGAATAAGTCACAAATGTAAATATAAGTAATAAGGTATCAAGTTTGTACATTCAAATGGGATTTGATCATTTTACATCTCAATAAAACTCAAAAAATGATACCTTATTTCTTAATTAAAAATATTGCAGTACGTATCGCAATACAGTTAAGAATATCGCAATACGGGGGGCCCTAAAATTTCTAGTGAACAATTATCAAAGTTTTATTTAGGAATAAAAGGAAACACATCTTTAAAATTCTTCTTTTCAAGAACACCTTTGATTAATATGCGAAGTTTGT